GTGTTCCACCCCAGGCTCATTCTGGCTTGAAGACATGTATTCAGGATCAGGATCACCAAGTCTTCATTAGAGCTTCCCACCTTGGAGACAGTGGGGTGGGGGGGGAGGGGTGTTGGGAGGAGAGATTTTGCCACCATGGGAAGGGACATCTAACAATGCTTGGATGCTTGGAAACTTTTCTTTTGTAGTTTCCCAAACTTGGTAGGGAGTACTACTGTTATTTAGAGGGCAGAGGTCAGGGATGCTATAACATCCTATGATGCACAGTACAGGCTTCGTTGACAGACATATCCCACCCCAGATGTCCATAGTGCCCATTTGGGAAGCCTGGGTGTACAGAGGCCTAACGGGGCGTAGGTGGGTTGCTTGTCAGCATACCATGTGTGCCCTGGAGGGGTGTGAAGTCTGTGGTCGGAGGAATAAGCTCTGTCCTGTGTATCCCCTGGCAAGGGCAGAAGAGACCCTCGCACGCCAGGCACCCCACCATTGTAACCACTTGTGCAACGCCGGAATTTCCCATCACGTAGGAGTGCTCCCTCACAACCCAGCAACATGAACTAGAAACAGACGTCTTCTGAGACCGGTTTTATTACTTCTTGCCAGTTGACACCCTCCTTCGGGCCTCGCTGCCCTGCCTCCCTGGTGTGACAGCCGCTGAGACACAGGGCTGAGCGGTTGTCCAGGGCTGTGCCGAGTTATTTCTGCCTACAGGAATGCCATGTAGACACCCTGAAAAAGGAGATCAAACAGACCTGTGAACCGTGGTTGTGATGGGAGCTAATTAGCATTTCATAACATTCAGCAGGGGAGAAAAAGCAATGACACTTCAGAGCAAATAAAACCCATTTGCAAATTTAATATTTTTCTGACGAGTTAGTGTCTCTAACCATTCTCCCTTCCCCCCACCTTGGGTAATTTATTCCTTCCACAACTGTTTTGCCAGTTACACTTGCTGGGAATTCACTGGTTAAGACTTACTGGGGCATCTGGACCTGCCCAAATCTGACCCATCACCTTCTTTAGGACAACCTGAGAACAAAGAAAGGTGTTCATAGTTTAAATAGCCTGGAGAGGGACTCCCCTGTTCAGTGAATAAAAATCTGCCTGCCAATGCAGGGGACAAGGGTTCGATCCCTGGTCCAGGAAAATCCCATGTGCCGCACGGATCAACTAAAGCCCGTGCACCACAACTACTAGAGCCTGTGCGCTAAGGGCCCATGAGCCACAACTACTGAGCTTAACTGCTGCAACTACTGAAGCCCATGTGTCTGGAGCCTGTGTTCCACAACAAGAGGAGCCACCAGAATGAGAAGCCTGTGCGCTGCAAGGAAGAGTTGCACCCATTCGCTGCAACTAGAGAAAAGCTGCAAGCAGCACCAAAGACCCAGAACAGCCAAAAAAAAAAATAGCCTCGAGAGGAAAAAAAAAATCGAAAGAGGAACAATAGTTTGTGACATGTGAAAATGATGCAAAATTCAAAGTTCAATGTCCATAAATAAAGTTTTATTGAAACACGGCTGCCCTTGAACTTATGTTTTATCTGTGACTGCTTTCACACTACTATGGCAGAGTGGAGTAGTTGTGGCAGGAACCATATGGCCCCCAAAGCCTACAATATTTATCATCCGGTTCTTTACAGAAAATTGTTGGCAGATCCCTGATTTAGGGGGAAACACTCCTGCAAACCGGGCAGTTACAATCTTAAGAGACAACTGATAAATGAGGAAAAGTATGTCATTCCGGGGGAGCCCAGAGGAGGGGAAACAACTCCACCTGGAGGTCAGGAAGGAAGGCTTCCTGGAGGAAGAGGTTAAGGAAGTTGAGGTGGGAAAGAGGAATAAGGTCATCCCCTGGATTCATCATCTCACCTGTCAATTTTTCCTTGCATCTCCCCCAGAGCCCTTCTTCCTGCATCCCACACAATAGGGCATCTTTATTGGGGTGAGGAGAGAGTACAGAAAAGCTTTGTGTCGACTCATTGCTTGTTTCCCTAAATCCCTTGCCTCTCACTTGAGTTCTTTTCCTTCTGAAGTCTGTTGGGAAGATGACTCTACTATCTTTTTCTATTTTTTCCCCCTTTGGCCACACCACACAGCGTGTGAGGTCTTAGTTCCCTGGCCAGGGATCAAACCTACTCCCCCAGAAGTGGAAGTCTTACGCACCAGGCTGCCAGGGAAGTCCCAAGATGACTCTAGTTTCAACGGAGTCTTTCCCAAACCTTTTGTTTCCACATCCTGACAGTAACAGCTCTAAGGTTCATGTTTATTTTGAACTCAGTGATTTCTAGGAGTAGCCTGGAATGTGTCTGGCTTTAGACCAGAAGCAAGAAATTGAAAATGCCCCATGGTGTCTGAGACTTCTCTTGTTTTCACCAGACACAGGTTGACAGCTCGTCTCTGAACCCTGAGGTTTCAGCTCAATTCCCGGCTCACAGGTCAATGTCTAGTGGTTGTACCCCTCCATGCTCAGCATTATGCAGACTGACAAAACTAGTCTCTCTTTGCCTGAGGACAACCAGTTCATATCACTGAGACCTTTGATGTCAGACAGCCCCAGGTTCAAATCCCTCTTCTGCCACTTCTTAACTGTTTGTCATTGCACTTAGTTCGTTCATGCTACGCTGTTTCAGTCTTGTCCAACTCTGCGTGGCCCTATGGACTGTAGCCCTCTAGGCTCCTCTGTTCATGAGATTTGCCAGGCAAGAATACTGGAGTGGGTTGCCATCTTCTCCAGTGGATCTTTCTGACCTAGGGATCGAATCTGGGTCTCTTACGTCTCCTGCATTGGCAGGCAGGTTCTTTACCACTAGCGCCACCTTGGAAGCCATTGCACTTAGATATGCCACTAAACGTCTCTGAACTTGCTACCCGCAAAGCAGAAACAAAAGTAAGACACAACCTCATTAGTTATGGGAGAACAAATTGAGAAAAGGAAGGTAGAAAGCTTCACCCAGTTCTTGGCTCAGAAAGCCCTGGGAAATGTCAGCCAGTGTGCTGATCCAAGGTGCCAGCGTGACAAAGAGGCTTCCCCCAGAGGACCATTCTGAACAATGATCCTGCCATGTGGGTAAAAAGAAGGGAAAAAGATTCTATATGCATGCTTGACAAAATACATGTAAAGTATTTTTGAGAGAATACTAGAATCTGTTAAGGGTGATTCCCTCTGGGGAGTATAGTGGTGAGTGGATTTTTTTTTTTTTCTGTAGCATGAGCCCCTTGGACAACAAGGAGATTAAACCAGTCAATCCTAAAGGAAATCAATTTTGAATATTCACTGAAAGGACTGATGCTGAAGCCAAAGCTCTAATACTTTGGCCACATTGATGCAAAGAGCCGACTCATTGGGAAAGACCCTGAGACTGGGAAAGAGTGAGGGCAGAAGGAAAAGAGGGCAACAGAGGATGAGACGGTTAAATAGCATCATCAACTCATTGGACATGAGTTTGAGCAAACTCCGGGAGATAATGGACAGGGAGGCCTGGCGTGCTCCAGTCCATGGAGCTGCAAAGAGTCAGACATGACTTTAGCAACCAAGCAAATGAACAAAAACAGCATGTTTGAACATTGAGTAATATGAAAAGGATCTGTTCAAAAGAGCAAATCAATGTTTACAATACAAGGTGCCTTGTCACCGAAAAGGATTTGAAGACATTGGGGAGTGGGGAGCATAACATTTGGGTTGAGGTTAGGGGATGGGCAAATAGATCAGAGAAAGATGCCCACGTGAAAGCTCTCTATGCTAAAGTTCTCTTTATACTAAAGCTCTCTAAAGTGCAGCTTTAGCATAAACATCGGTACCTGGGAAGCAGCAATTAATTACACGAGTAGATTAACTGGGAGTAAAACTCAGCTCAGCAAACACCCCCTGGGCGGCTGACAGCCAAGGCTCTGAGGGAGAAGGCAGGTGAAGGCGGGAACTTTCTTAAAGACATCTGGAGGGTCGTTCCCACAGCCCTGACCAGAAATATATTGAACACACTAGGGGTCAAGAACCACTGAAACCTACGGCCTGCTTGTCCAGGCGAGCACTTTCGGAAAATTGCTTTTGACATATAGTCACTTGTTTGGGCCCTGGTCGACCCCTTACTCTGTATTCTTGATGACCTTTGACATGAACTTGCCAACAAAGGTCAGGCCAAATCAAAACAGCATTCCAGAAGATTCTTTTCAGCAGCAGGTACTCACTGACCTAGATGAAGTTTTCTCAAGTGTCTAAACCCTGAAAAGGAGATGCTAAAATTGACCAGAATGACTTGAGGGGAAAAGAAAATCTTTTTAAGCAATCAAAGGATTCAAATCAGAAAACAAGAATGAAAGAAAACATGGAGGAAAGTGTGGACTTGAAGAGACTTGACATGAACTTTTGTAAAAAAAAATAAAAAGAATTAAATTTTTCCCTTATAAAAATAAATATTCATATATACAGTAGTGTGGGAATAAAGATAATTTGTGGGCAACTCATACATGCATGCGTGCTAAGTCTCTTCAGTTGTGTCTGACTCCTTGAACCCCACGGACTGTAGCCCGCCAGGCTCCTCCATCGGTTTCTCCAGGCGAGAATACTGGAGTGGGTTGCCATGCTCTCCTCCAGGGGATCTTCCCAACCCAGGGATCAAACCCTCATCTCTTATGTCCCCTACATTGGCAATTGGGTTCTTTACCACTAGTGCCACCTGGAAAGCCTGTGGGCAACTCAGAATATCCATAATTTGATGGGGCGTGGGGGACACAGAAGAGGGTAATAACAAGATGATGGTTTGTGAGTTAGATTTTTAACACTCTACAGTAGTAAAGACTGAATGGAAATTCATTGATAAGCACAGATTTTCACTAGGTAAAGTCTCTTAGAAGGAATCATATTGGAAGAAGTCTATTCACTATTTTAATTTCATTTCAAGGTGTATGGCAAACTTTTTGAGCTATAAAAATTACTCTCACTTCTTTACCCTCAATCCCAGATGTTATCTTGATGCCAGTGGATTAATTTTTTTTTTTTCATAGTCCAGGTTTAGCTTTATTACCTAATAGAAGTTCAATCTCTGGAACATTAAAATTAACTGTTCCAAAGTTTAATTAAAAACACAATTTACAAATATTTAATATCTTCTGAAAAGCATTTCCAAGTTAATGAAAAAAATATATACATAATATATAATCAAATACCAGATAGTTTCAAATCCCATCAGGTTCACACTCAGTAACATCGGTGTTTTTAGGTTCCTCAAAATCTTCTGTTAGATCGACAAGGTGGTTCTCAATGCCCGGGGAGGGGACGGAAATTCCCATTGCCTTTCGGAGTCCGTATGTGCTTACAATATCGCCTGGAGTTACTTGCTGTGCAAGTTCTTTAAGGTTACTGGTCACTTGTTCAGCGAGATGCATTTCTCTGTATGACGGACCCAAGAGACAGATCATGTTGGGAGGGGGTCTGGTGCTCAGACGCTCATTCTGGGCTTCCTGGAGCTCTCTGAGCAGTTTGGTGGTCTCATCAAGTTTCCTCTGGAACACTTCAGCTTCTTCAGAGTCGAACACTTCCATTGGGGCTCCGAAGTGTGTTACTGCTTTCAGTGCTGTGAGCTAGTCTTGATTACTGGAGTCTAAATGCCCTGTGAGTTCAACTTCTGTAACCTCCATTTCTTTTGCTGTGTCAAGTATCCTAGTCTGGCCTTCATCTTCAGGATATGACGTCTCGGACTCCTGCAGGGTTCTAGAATGTCCTCCTTTTGTTAAAACATCCAGTAAACTATCTGCCATAACATATGGATAATCTTGGCATGTGGCCAAAAACTCATGGATGCTGAAATCACTGGGGAGATCAGGGTCTTCCCCATAGGTTGAATAGATCAAATCAGAATCGTCCTTGCTGATATTTGCAAATGTGGAGTCATAATGTGGTGCGTAAGAACTGTAGGGTCCATAACTCAAGTATAACACTGGAGTCACTTTGTTTCTTTTATCTTCTTTGAATCCCTGCAAAGTATTCACTCCAGACTGAAGTCTTCCAGTTGTCATCCCCAGTCTCACAGGACAATAGCCTGGTTCTCCAACCAGGAGGATGAAGCTGAGACGCGAACAGGGGCATCTTCCACCTTAAACCAGTAAACTGGCCTCCTGGGAGAGCAGCTCCGACAACAGGATCCACAGGATGGAGAAGTCCCAACGTTGTTGTTCCATTTGGCTTTCTCCTTTCAAATTCACACTGACTATTAACAAGCCTCCTGGTCAGCTTTCCTCCAGATTCCTTAATGATGCGGTCAATCTGCTCCTGCTCTCTTTCTAAACTATTGCTTTTAAATTTTTCTTCAAGCATATCTTTGTCTTTCTTTTTATTCTCCTTATTGGGGCTCTTGAAGCCCTGTGCCTCAGCGTCTCCAGTGTCGTCCCTCTCTCTTGGCCAGGAGCTGCTGTCCTCCCCACTCTGCGAGGTGTCTGTCCTGTCTCTCTGCTTCCGACTTTTCTGCAAGTCTGCCATGAAGTCTATGCTCTGCTTCAGGCTCTGAATTCTCTCCTGGCTAAGAATTTTCATCCCTGAGTGCAACAGCTTTTTCGCAGCTTTATAATAAATCGTCTCTGGTTTGTTGTAAATCATATCGTTAGTGCACATTAGTCTGAAGTTATCCTTCAGTTCTTCTATGGACTGGTAATCATTGTTCTTGATCTTTTCTTTCATGGTACTAAAATCCATTGGGTGTTTAATGATCATGGAGTAGCCAGGGGCAATAAAATCAGTCACAGGAAATGAAAAGAAAGCACTTGGGTCTTTTCTCTGCAGTTGTCTCATCAGTTGATTGAAAGCTTCTTGAAGAGGTGTCTGTTCTACTTCTTCTTGTTTGGCTAAAGAGCTTGCAAGAGGCTTCTCAGGAGGCAAGTCTAATCCGACAGGGGCCTGGCACTGTAGGTCTTTTTCTACCTCGATATCCACATGGTCACGATCTCGCCTTCTTTTATCCTCCTTTACACGTCTCCGTTTTCTCCCCTTTTCTTCCCCTGGAATCTGCTTCTCTCCTTTCTTTCTCTTTTTCCGCTTTCTCTCTTTGTGTTTGTCATGATCGCTTTTGTCTTCAAAGAGGCTGGAGTCGTGCCCAGAGCTGCCCGTGGAGAGCTCGGTAACCTCGTTCCCTCCCACTTTGAGGACCAGCTTCAGGGGCTTCTCTACATACTCCTCGTAGAGGTGTTTGTCCGACTTGTGCTTTTTGTGCTTCTTGCCCATGTCCGATCGGGCCCCGGTGCCCGCCCCCCGCGCCAGGCCCAGGCCGTGCGGCGCCGCTTCCGGTCCGGGCCAGGCGAGCGGAGGGCGGGAGCGGGGCCCGCGAGACCCCGCGCCGCGCGGCAGGGGGACGGCGTGCGCTGAGCGGCGCGAGGTCCCTCACCGCCAGTGGATTAATTAAAGTGACTGAAAATACATTTATGTACACATAAAACAGAAAAAGAAATCAAGAATGGAACAAAGGAAAGAAAATTCTCACAACGGAGTTGGAACACCGAAGAGGCAAAATTTCTTTACGTAGCTCAGCGTGGTGGTGGACAGTTGGAGCTTAAACAGACCTGGTTGTAAATTGTGGCTCCTCTGTGTATAAGCTGTATGACTTTGAGCAGACATCTTCTCTTCTCTGAGCCTCAGTTTTCTTTGTCTGTTAAATGGGTATAGGATGAAATGAGGTCATGTTCGCTATCACTTTTATGGCAGCTATATCATTTTCAGGTATTTACCTTTCCTTCCCCCTGTTCACCCTGCCCCTGCCTCCTCTGTGGCCCCTTGTCCCAGAGGAGTGAGTAGGGGGAAGGGGGAAGAGGTCTTCAAGTCTTTCTGGCTTTTGTTTCCAAAGACAAGGAGACTTTAGAGAGATCATGGAGCAGCTGAAAGGAGGAAAGAGGAGGATTTTGGACAGAGACAAACTGTCTTTGAAAAGCAGGGAAGAGAATGCCTACCCCCGAAGCCCAGGCAGAGAAGATAAAGAACGGCTCTCTGGTGGCCCCAGGGCATGACGCAGATGGAGCCAGCCAGAATCCTTGCAAAAATCCCCATCCTCAAGCAAGCCATGGAAGCAGAGGAAAACTGGAGCCCAAGGCTGCCCAGTCACAAGGATGCTGATGTCTCCATGACAACAGGTGTGCACGTATCATTGAGGACTATGTGCCCTTCTCCCCCGACATGCTCTCAACCCAGGGCATTTGCCTGAAGATGCAGAACCTAAGTAAGAAGGCAAGTTTTCCCTTCTAGCCCTGAATGGGTACTTGGAGTGAAAAGTAAAGTTAAATTAAAGAATACTAAAAAAAAAAAAAAGATATCTCTCTCACACACCTCTGTGAACTAAAATGTGTCTGTCATTATTCCTACGCTCATTTCCCAAGAAGCTATCAAGCTCTCCTGTGCACCGGGGTCCAGTTCGCAGTTGGCAAGATGCTGGGTGTATATCGGCTCATGGGACGGAACCTTGGCCCTTGAAGTCTCAGGGTCTAGTGTGGGGTTCCCAACCCTCCCTGTGCTTCCTGGGGAGCATTTGAATACACAGATGCCCAGGTCCTATCCTGAGAGGTTCTAATTGCATTGATGGATGGTGTCCAGGAAATGGTTTGCTTCCAAAATCCCTCTGGAGGTTCCACTGTGTAGCTGGGGTTCTGACCCACTGCTCCTAAGGGAGAAAAGGAGGCATAAAACAGAGGTACAGGACAGGGGTATAGGGGGAGGCTGGGCCCCTCCTGGGGGTTCCAGGGAAGGTGGTTTCAAGGAGGGCCCCTGGATCAACAAGTAAAAATGAGTAAAAATGAACCAGTAAATACAGCAACACAGATGGACATAGAGACTGTCATACTGAGTGAAGTAAGTCTGATGCAGAAAGACAAATATCACATGATCTCACTTACATGTGGAATCTTAAAGAAGGGTACAGGGACGCCGCTGGCGGTCCATTGGTTAAGACTCGATGCTTCCACTGCAGGGGGCATGGGTTCAATCCCTGGTTGGGGAAGTAAGATTTTGCATGCTGTGTGGCATAGCCAAAAAGTAAAAAAAAAAAAAAAAAAAAGCAAAAAAAATCAACCTGATTAAAAAGAATTTTTACCAAAAAATTTTAAACAGGGTGCAAATGAACTTATCTTCAAAACAGAAATAGATAACAAACGTAGATGTAGAAAACAAACTTATGGTTCCCAGAGGATAGGGAAGGAAGGGATAAATTGGAAGATTGAGATTGACGTATTTACTTGACTGTATAAAATAGATTTAAGAACTTACTGTATGTAAACCAACTATAATCCAATAACATTTTTAAAATTTGAAGAAAAAATTAACCAGTGAAGATGGTGGGGAAGAGAGCTGGCCATCCAAGAAGGAATAGAAGAATCAAAGGAACAGAACTGAGGAAGAGCACTGGGGAGTTGGGTTTGGGGGGTGAGTGCCCCCCACTAAGGATGAGGTGGGGGTGTTGAGGAAGAGGAGACTTGTCACTCGGTGTCTTGTCCCCCATGTGCCAAGTAGCCAAGCTCCAAGCCAGCAGACTTTGAATTATTCTAAGGAGGGAAGTCGAATCAAATTTCGGTTCTAGAAAGATCACTCTGGCTTCTGAGCAAGGACTGGACCAGCTCTAGATGGGATCACAGAAGAGTGTGAGGCTCAAAGGTCAAGCTGACCTTGGCTCCTGACAAAGAAAACATGTTCTTGTGCTGAGAGCTTGGGGTGACACCTGCAGAGAGGGTTGTCAAGGAATTCAGCTCCCAAGTGCCAGGCATGGAGGGTTAATGCCTTCATGGGTACTTTTCAATCACAAAAGCCAGCTCCCATTCCCACAGCTGTTTCTGCTTTGAGACCCTCCCGGGCGCATGGGGGAGAGACATGTGCCCCCATCCCTCCTGGGGGCAGTGTCAAGGAGGCCAGGCCTGTGCATCCAAGAGAGATGGCTTGGAGATTTCTCGGGCATCCTGGCCTGGCTCTCATTACTCAGGGGGCCAGGGAATATAATCTCAAGAGGATGGACCTCGTCCCCACTTCCTGAAAACATTATATACTTGAAAATTCAGTTGCATCAAAGATTTTAAGTGACTTCTTCCCAAGCTTTCATCCTATAGTGCTCGTAGGAGTCCAAGTTTGTCTGGACCACCCAGACTAGAGAAGAGAGAAGGCATTTTGTGCACCAGGCTATATCTCAAGGGTTGGGGTGCAAATCTGTGAGGGAAGGGCTATCATCTGACCCCAACAGCAGCCCCGTCGGCTCAGCGCTCTCTCACACTGACCCTTGACTCGAGCTCTAGGATTAAAATCATTTCAGGAATGAGGAACTGACACCCAGAAGGTTTAAGGAGGTCCTCCAGGGTCACAGATACAGTAATGATGACCTCAGGATTTACAACCACACAGCTGATAGTTCGGGGCCCACATCCCCACCCAGACTCAACATTTTCTCTCCCGGGGCCACCAGCCTGTGAATGGCTCATCCATAGACTTCAGGAAAGGAGCAAATCTTGTTCATCAATATGAACAGAGATCTCGGACTGTCTGTGAACATGAGGCAAGGATTTGGCTGGTTGCGCTTCCCCCTCCCCCCACTCGCCTCTAAGTCTGATTTTAATGACTTTTGACAGCTATTTGTATAATTTGAGTTATGTGGCATCACAAAGCTCTTTCTCCCAGGGAAGATTACATGAAACTGTTTTGACAGCTCTCACCAGAGGGGCAATATTTAATATATAACAGTTCATAAAACAAAACTGGGATCCAAGAATACCTTTGGCTGTGAGTCACATTGATCTGAGATGATATCACCTTTAGGTCTAAGCGAGGGGGGCGGGCAGGGAGCAGAAAATTTCTTTTGTGCCGTGACATCTCCAAGGGAAACGCCAATCATTGAACTGACATATTTTCATAAATGAAGCTGAGTCCTCTCCATCCTGCCATGTAATTAGAAACTTCTGGAGATTAGTGACCGCCATTTTAAAGATGAGTTTAAGGAGGCGTGAACCGATTCCAAGCTCTCTGAACTTTGTCTTTTTTTCCTCTCTTCTCTGGTTGAGGAGGAACTATTACATCTCTAAATCAATCAGCGATCTCCTTTTGAAATCCTGTTTGAAAACATAACATTCCCCCAGAAGCCCGTTACTCTCATTTTCCCCTCTCTCACTGCCTGGGTAATTTGTTTTAACTCTGCAGCCCTGTTACTTTATGTCAGGCAGCAATTTCAAATAGAATTTCTGTAAAAAGAGTTTTAGCAAGATAAAGTAGGACCTGGACCTTTCTGGGAAGGGGTTGGGGTAGGCTGAGGAGGAGGATGCATGGTTGAGAAAGCCAGGAGTCTTTATTTTCATAAATAAATGCTACTATTTCTCAAGTCTCTCCCATACCACCAGGCCCAAAACCTCAAGCCAAAAAAAAAAACCCCAAAAGCCTCCAAAAAAGAGGTTTTATTCCCAAAGGGATGGAAGATCATTCTGCAAATTTTGCAAGCTTGCTGTGAGGGCAGTTAATTAATTACTAGAAGCCAAAGAGCCAAAGGAAAAGCTTCTTATTAGGAATGAAGGGGAAGAATTCCCTTCAGTCTTCATGTTTAATACTTGGGTTAGCCAAGCCTGGAACTTAGCCTATATCTTCAGGTAGTGCCCGGGCTGAGGCTGTAACAGTTTCTGGAAATCCCACTTTTCTGAGCTTTGAAAGGTACAGAGACTAATGGAGCTGAGAAATCAGACTCTTTCTCAATGGGGTGGGGATGGAGGCCAGAGGAGGCAGGGACATGTTTTATTTAAAAGAATGATCAGTTACTTAAATTTAAGTAGTAGAGAACGTGAGTATCAGGGGATTCTCCACATGGACTTGTAATCACTGTAAACTCACCATAAGTTAGGACGCAATAAGGACTGCTTTTTATGTTGGCAACGCCTCTTAGGAATTTCCCATTTTGCACCCAAAGTCTCCCTCCCCTCCTTCATCATTGAAAGTCATGAAAATTTCTCTCACTAAAGCAATAGATTTGGGGTTTTTATGACTTTGTTTTTTTTTAAATGAAACAATGTTCTGATCATAGTCATGGGGAAGATAGGAAAGGTAATTCCTTTCCTAGGCATTATCAAGGTAATTCCTTGATAAAACCTGATCAAGGTGAGTATGAACATTTTCAGGGGCTTCCCTGGTGGTTCAGCTGGTAAAGAATCCTCCTACAATGCAGGACACTCCAGTTTGATTCTTGGGTCGGGAAGATCCCCTGGAGAAGGGATAGGCTACCCACTCCAGTATTCTTGGTCTGGAGAATTGCGTGGACAGGCAG